CTGGTGTGGGTGTGCAGATTTTGGGGTGCTCACAGCCCAGACGCCCTGGGGGTGAAGGCTGGGGGTTGAGGGGGACGTGGCAGGGGGAAGGGGAGGGGTGGAGCCGGGTGCCCGGTGGGGTCCCCTGGGTGGGGGGGGCCACCCGCAGCCACCCCCAGCTCTGGCCAAGCTCATAAACTCTGCAAGAGGCACCATGGCCACCGATGCGCTCCTGACGCCGCGTGCCAGGGGACACGGGGACACACACGTGTGGGACGCGGCTACACCTGCCCCGTACCCCATTTCTCACCCCGGGGAGCGGGACCCCACAGTATGGGGACACCTTGGGGTCCCCCATCCCGCATCTCCACCCTCTGCGAAGGGGGACCACAGTGTGGGGGTCCTCCGTGGGCTCAGCCCGGAGCAGGTGGCGCCCCAGCCGTGCCCAGGCGAGGGAGGGGAGCGGGGACGGCCCCGTGGAGGGACCCCGGGGGGTTGGTGGGAGGCAGGGGAGCCCGAGGGCCACCGTCTGGCTGGGTGCCCGTGCCGGCCTCGGCTCCGCTCCCGGCGTTCCCGCCCCGGCTGCCGGGACAAGTCCCAGCCCGTCTCTCCCTGCCTCAGTTTCCCCGGGCGGGCAGTGACGCCGGGCTTTCGGCTGTGGGCCTGGCGCGGACGCGAGCGCGGGCACGATCGCTGTCCCCCTCCCTGGGAAAGGGCCGTCCCCACGGCCCCGAGGGTGCCAGCTCCCCGCAGAGAGGATGGGACGGGGACACGGGCTCGAGCAGCGAGGGTGGGACGGGGACAAGGGTCTGTGCAGCGAAACGGGGGACAGGGACACGCAGGTTGGCACAGTAAGGCTGGGATGGGGACATGGGGACACGGGGACATGGGGACACAAGGACATGGGCACAAGGACACACACAGGGACACAGGTCCATGCAGGAGGTCAGGACAAGGGTTCAGGTGGGCACAGAAAAGCAGGGGACAAGGACATACAGGTTGGCAGAGCAAGGCTGGGATGGGATCATGGAGATGCAGGGACATGGGGACACACACAGGGACATGGGGACACACACAGGGACAGAGGTCCATGCAGGGAGGCTGGGACAGGGTTTCAGATGGGGACAGGGGCACACAGGTTGGCACAGCAAGGCTGGGACGGGGACATGGAGACACAGGGACATGGGGACAGAGGGACATGGGGACACACACAGGGACATGGGTACAGACACAGGGACACAGGTCCATGCAGGGAGGTTGGGACAGGGGTTCAGGTGGGCACAGAAAGGCAGGGGACAGGGACACACCGGTTGGCACAGCAAGGCTGGGATGGGGACGTGAGGACACAGGGACACGAGGACATGGGGACACAGGTCCACGCAGCGGGGCAGGGACCCCCGCAGAGCCAGGCTGCACCGGGAGGATCCAGAGTTGTGACAGGGGGCGAGGACACGCCATCCCCCGCAGTCCCCATCCCCACCGTCCCCCAGCCCTCTGCCACCCACCCCGTGCCCCGTGCCAGCTGGCTGTGCCCCGGCGCGGGCAGCGTGCCCAAGCCCACGCTCAATTACAGCAATTACGGCACCTCCTCAGCCGCCAGCCCGTCCCCGCGCCCGGCCGAGCTCGTTAACCGTTCCTAATGGTTTCTTCGGAGAATTAGAAAGTGGTTTTGAGGGAGGCTCTTCCCGGGGCGCAGCGAGCGAGGGGGGACGGTGCCGTCACCGCCGCCTGGGGGCCTGGCATCTGCCCAGGGCTGCCTCCCATCCCTGTGGTCCCACCAGGAGCAGAGTGGCTCCTGTGCCGTCCCCTGACTCCCCCATGGGGCCACCAGGAATGGGGACGGGGTGGCATGGGACCCTGGGGTGTCTGGGTCCCCTCTGGCAGCCCCAAACCCCCAGGGGTCCCAGCATGGCCCCGCGCCAGGGGTAGGTGGTGGTGGCACATCCAGGTGGCCCCCATCCCTGGTGTGGTTGGTTGGTCCTGTCCCCTGGTGCAGCCACATGTCCCTGTCCCCGGTGGGGTCGTGTGTCCCCAGCACTGGTGGAGCTGCAAGTCCCCATCCCCAGCTCAGCACTGTGTCCCCGTTCCCAGTGCCACTGTGTGTCCCCATCCCTGGTGCAGCCACATGTCCCATTCCCAGTACAGCCCAGTGTCCCATTTCCAGTGCAGCTGGATGTCCCTGTCCCCAGTACATCCTTGTGTCCCATCCCCGGTGCAGCCGTGTGTCCCCATCCCCGGTGCAGCCACTTGTCCCCATGCCAATGCAGCTGTGTGTCCCCATCCCCAGTACAGCCCAGTGTCCCATTCCCAGTGCAGCCGTGTGTCCCATCCCCGGTACATCCACGTGTCCCCATCCCCAGTGCAGCCCAGTGTCCCATTTCCAGTGCAGCTGGACGTCCCTGTCCCCTGTACATCCATGTGTCCCATCCCTGATACATCCACGTGTCCCCATCCCCAGTACAGCCCAGTGTCCCATTCCCAGTGCAGCCGTGTGTCTCATCCCCGGTGACAGCCACATGTTCCCTTCCCAGTACAGCCC